ATAACAATTGATATTATCATTTATTCATTAAGACATTGAATAACAAATAGTGATTCTATTCTCTTCATATTTATTTAACAAACTGACAATCAACATTACATTGATGAGATAATTCAACACTATTATCATTATTATTAAAATGTATTAAAATGATGAAAAATGAAGTGAGAATAATATAAGAATAAGTTATAATCAATATAATTTCATTAATACTATATTAAATCATGACAGATATACAATCTGTTTAATTGAAATGTGATAAATTTGTTTAATTGAAATAACTAATTTCATAAAAATATTTAACTTGTTTTAATTTGTGGTTGATGACTGTTGGTTGTAAAGAAAATAATAAAACCAAACTATAATGCTATTAATGATCCTTTGAATAGAATGTAATTATATAATATCTCTGAAAATTAGTTTAATCAAAAAATACATTTTACCATTGAGACAAAACAGATTTTATTGACAAAAAGTAAAAACATAAAGAATAATTTATATTCACCTACATTCCCTTTAACTTTTCTTGTTATAGTTTATAATAAAGTGTATAAAGAGTCATAAGTTATAAAGAATATAGAAAGACTGTAGGTTATAATTTCTATGAATATATAATATGTATTAAAATTAAAAACTTAATAAAAGAATGTATTGATAATAGTCATTGTTATTATAGTGCCTCCTTTGTTTATAAAACTAAAACCTACAATATACAATAAAAAAACATATAAAGTTAATAATCACTAAGCTTCATTAATGTCATAACACATCTTTGATCTTTGTGAAATTCATATTTAATTGTTTGAGAGTAATGAAGTAATTTCAATACTGAAGATAGACTCCTCATTTTAGAAAGATTTAAATAACGTTTTTGAGGATCAGTAAAAGTTTCTTGTTCATTAATATTAACAATATCATGCATCCAAAGAGATAAGATAGGGACTTTAGGAAATGCCCTATTTTCAAAACTAATACGATAATTATTAAAATTTCTACTAATAGAATATACCTCTTGAAGTTTTTCAAATGTTTGAATATGTTTTTTCTCAATTTTCTATAGAATTAGAATCAACAAAATTTCTAAATACAGAATCTTTTATAAAACAGAATAAAAACAAACATTCCAAAGTTCAGAACATTGAGAAAAAGAACTGGATAAACAAGAGAATACTAAATATGACATATTGAAGTCACTCTCCTCAAAACATTCTTTAGCTATTTTAATAGATTTTTTAATACTTTTTTTAGTTGATTCATTACAAGTGATATCAATAAAAATGTCTTCAATACATCTCATTGCTTTAATATATCTTTCTAATGTTCCTTCTTCATTATGAAGATAAAGATCATATTTCATTACTTGAGAAAGAACTTCTTGATCAAAAATAATTAATTGTTGAGTAAAAAAAGAAGTTTTCATTGAGGTAAAATAATATTTGATAGAATCAATAGTTTCATTAATCTCTTTAACATTTTTAAGGGTATTTTTAGTTCTAACAATACTCATTCTTTTTTCATCAAATAATTGATTTACATGTTTAATATCATAAGGAGCTAATTTGGATAAACTTGTACGAGGTTGAGAATATTGTTTTAATAATAAAGGTAATTCTTTTTTAAATTTAGTAGTTAATAAAGAACTTCTTTGAATCACAGCATTGATTCTATTAAATAAATAAGAGCATTCTTCACGAATAGCATTTCCCATAATATTAATCCAACAAATAATCATTTTTTCAAATCTACTAATACCAAAAATCATCCAATCTTTAGAAACATTAACATTTTTAGAATCTTTTTCAATTCCATCAAGAATTTTAATAAAATTTTCAAAAGTAGTTTGAAAATCACAAATATAAGGTGTAAATGCAATATAATCCTCCATAAATTGACCAATTTGTTGAATTCTTGAAAAAATCATTTGTAACATAACTTCATTACTACAGTGAGTAATAATTAATGACCTTCCTTCTAAAGTATAGAAAGGTTCTCTTGACTGTAAATCAAATACATCACTTTCTTTTTGTTTACATAATTCAAGAAAAGTACCTAATTTAATAAATAAATCAACTCCAAATGTTTTCATAAATCCACCTGAAATCATAATTTTACAAATAATTTGAATATTATTTTCATTAACATCTTTTATTCTTTTAAGTATTTTAATAAAACAACGAAGTAATTCACAATGGGTAATTTCCATTGCATGAACACAAATTCTACAATTTACTATGTCTTGTTCATCAAATGGAATTTTAACTTTACTACATCTTGTCTCATCTTCAAAAAAGAAAATACTATGTTTATAACATTTTAAAATAACTTGTCCAAATTTTGTTTTTAATTCTTTTTCACCTTTAGTTTGTTTCCAAAAATCTGCTTTAGGAATTATTTTATTTAAAAGAATTAAAACATCTTCTTCCATTAATGTTTCATTAAAATCTTTTTCTTCTATCATTTCATGTGCTAAATCCATTACCGATATTGGAATTGTTTCTTGAAGTGAAATTGGTTCAATTTCATTTCTTTTTAAAACAGGTGATATTTTAATAACATCAGTTAATTTTTTAATAGTATTTCTTCTTCTTGGTGATTCATTTTCATTTATTCCTTCATTTAAAAATAATGGACTTGACTTTTTATCAAAAGACGCATTTCTTGTTTGTGAAAATGTACGACCTCTCTTTTTAAATGATGGTGATAATGGTCCTGTAAGACTTACAGGTTCAAGATATACTTCTTGATTATTATTTCCTTTAGGTACACTCATTTTATTTGTTAAATTTAAATTTGTTATTTAAGAAGTTCATTTCTTTTTGGGTTTTAATGAACAAAAATTCATTTAACGTCCAAAAAGACTTTTTTTTATAATTCTGTTCAATAGATTTTTGTATGTTTTTAAAAAAATGTCATAAGAAAGGAAAAAATTTTTTATAAAAGACTCTATCAATTCATCATATCACTATTATCTTATTATTAAAGAGAAAATTATTCCAAAAATTATATCATTCTTGTAAGGTTTTCTCTCTTTATCTTCTTTCATCCGATAAGAAGATAAAAAAGCTAACTCTTCTATCCATACTTGGATGATTATATTTTTTATTTCTTTTTCAGTTCTCTTTATATCTTCAAAACCCTAAAATAAAAATAGAAAATTATTTTTTGTTTTTTAAATTTATTGAAAAAAAGAAAATGGTTAAGAAAGAAGAGTTTCAAGCAAAATACAATACGATTCTATTTATATATTTTTTTTTAATAATTTCATTGTGTTATTCATAGAAGAACTTATTTTTTTTTTTAAACAGAAGAAAATGATTATTATTATTCTTATTATTATTACATTTGTTATTAGTGAAGTAAATATTAAAGATTGTGGACCAACTGGGGTTTCAAGTGAGTCGAAATGTGTTGATTGTAAAGGAGATAAATATCTTGATAATGGAAATTGTGTTGGTTTGTTTTTGAATTATTTATAAAAAAGTTTTTGTTATAAATTATTATAAAACAAAAATAATGTTTTAGAATTGGAAGGTTCATTGTGTCAAAAAGCAATCAATGGAACATGTACTGAATGTGAAGATGGTTATTGTGAAGTATTTGGTGAATGTCGAAGATGTCATAATTCATATTTTTTCAATTCTATTAAATATGATGGTCATTATTATTCATTATCAAGTTCACATTGTACTTTAGAATATTTTACTAATTGTAAAAAATGTGAAGAAGGATATTATTTAGATTCAAACATTTGTGTTTCTCCTTTTCATCTTATAGAAAAATGTATGGATTCAAGAAAAGAAGGAAATGATTATATATGTTCTGTATGTGAAAAAAATTATTATTCATTAGGAAATAGTTGTGGGTTATGTAGTGGATTAGAAGGATGTACTAGTTGTGAAAATGTAGTACCAAGTAAGTTATCAAGTTATAAGTATTGTTATTCTTGTAAATCAGGATATTATTTATTTGATGGTCAATGTATTAGAATTCCTAATTGTCAACAAAATATTAATGAAACTTGTATTCAATGTGAACAAAATTATTTATTAATAAATGGAAGTTGCTTTTTTTATTCTGATTTTCATTGTTCTTCTGTTATTTCAAATATTTGTGAAGAATGTGAAGAATATTATTTTCTTAATTCTAATTCTTTATGTTCTTTATGTGATTCTAATTGTATTAATTGTATTGATTCATTACAGTGTAACACTTGTGAAGAAGGATTAACATTATATGAAGGAAAATGTATTGAATGTGATTTAATTGGATGTGAACGTTGTTCAGTAGATAGTTATATTTGTTTACAATGTGAAAAAGGATATTATTTAGAAAATGGAATTTGTAATTCTTGTAATATATTTGGTAATTGTATTGAATGTACAATATCAGGATGTATTCAGTGTAAATCAAATAATATATTAAATACAACAAATTGTGTTGAATGTAATTCAATTATTTCTAATTGTACTTCATGTTATCAAAATGGTACATGTTCTGATTGTATTTCACCAACAACAATTCTTAATAAAAATGAATGTGTTCAATGTCCTGATATATTTATTAATTGTATAGAATGTTCATTATCTGGCTGTACAACATGTAAAAAAGGAAATTATTTAAATTCTACATGTTATCCATGTGAGAATATTAAAGGTTGTTCTACTTGTTCTCAAACAGAAATTAAATGTTTTTCATGTATTGAAGGTTATAAATATGATCCTTTAACATATTCATGTAAAGATTGTCAATCATTACATCAATGGTGTTTAGGTTGTAATTCTAAAATGGAATGTATTGAATGTGAAAATGAATATACTTTAATAGATGGAAGATGTATTCCTTGTATTAAAGACTCAACATCTGAATGTATTAAAGGACCTTCTAATTGTGATGTTTTTGTTAATAATTCTTTTTGTATTGATTGTGATAATGGTTATGTTCTTAGGTCTGGTTATTGTTATAAATATTTAAATAATATAAATTGTATTTCAATTAATTCTAATTTAAATATTGGTTGTGAAGGATGTAAAAATTCTCTAACACTTGATGGACAATGTTCTTCTAATGAAAAAACAAGTAATTGTTCATTTTATATAAAACAATCTTCTTCTGAACAAGAATGTATTCCATATTATTCATCTTCTATTCAATTAGATAATTGTTTAATTGTAAAACAAGGAAGATGTGTTCAATGTAAATATAATTATTATTTAAATAATCAAAATCCTCCTATTTGTTCTAAATGTGATTCAACATGTTCTGAATGTTCTATAACTTCAACTCATTGTTTAAGTTGTTCTTCAGGATTAGTTATGCCAGATATTACTACTGGAACATGTAATATTTTATCACCATGTATTTCTGGAACAACGTTTTGTAATCAATGTTTAAATGGATATTATTTATTAAATTCTAAATGTCATAAATGTTCATTACCCCATTGTGTCCAATGTTATTATGGAACAAGTAATGAAATATGTTCTCAATGTGATGAAGAAAGTGTTCTTATAAATGGAAGTTGCAATTTAATAACTGATGCCCATTGTTCATTTATTCAAAAAGAAACAAGTCTTTGTAAACGTTGTGAAGTTGGTTATTCTTTTGGAATGAAAACAGAATCAAATAATTGTATTTATTCTGATTCATGTAAATATTCAATAAATGGTAATTGTTTATTATGTAAATCTGAATATAAGTTAACAAAAAATAATAACAGAAAATGGGTTTGTCTTAATCAAACTATAGATACACATTGTTCTATTTCATCTCCTTATGGATGTCTTCGTTGTATGACAGGATATTATTTAAAAGATGGAATTTGTTCTTCTTGTGATAATAATTGTAGAAGATGTATAAATAATTCTAAACAATGTGTTGACTGTGAACTTGGAATGAAGGTTAATGACTTAACTTCAAAATGTTATTCATTAGGTAATTCATCTCTGGGATGTCTTTATTATCTTCATAATTCATATGGATGTGCTATATGTAAAAATGGATATTTTGTATCAAATTTAACTTGTTTTCATTGTTATGAAGGATGTAAAACATGTACTAATGAAGATTCTTGTATTGAATGTAATGGAGATAAAGGATATTTTAAAGATATTGATAATAAATGTTATAATAATACTACAATTGAACATTGTCTTTCTTCTAATGTAAATGGATGTACAAAATGTGAAAATGGATATTTCATAAATAAAACTCGTTGTAGTAAATGTTCAGAGAATTGTCAATATTGTTCAAGAATAGAACAATGTGATAGTTGTGAAAATAAATTTGTATTAATAGAAGGAAAATGTATTCCTTATTCAGACATTGATTATTGTTTTTCAGCTGAACATTCAAGATGTTCATATTGTCTTGGAAATCATGAAGTTTCATCAAATGGAACATATTGTAATTATAAATTAAATTATTTTTTAGTTGTAGGACTTCCAGTAATAATAATAACATTTATATTATTTATAATTCTTTTGGGTATAATAATCAGTTCAATTATTATTTATAAATGTTCAAAATCAAAGAAAGAAGAAGAAGAAGAATTAACAATATTTGATATGAAAACAACAAATATTAAATTTATGGTTATTGATCAAACTTCTGGATTATCTATAAATAAAAATGAAATGAATTTTATGTTTGATGAAAATAATTTATCAGAATTACCAATAGAACAAGAAACAAGAGATATTATTTGTATAGGTAATTTAAAAACTAAAACATTAAAAGTTCAATTATTTTTAAAAGACCAAAGTGATAAATATGATATTAAAATAGAACCTCCTATTGCAATAATTAAAAAGGGAAAAGCAATTGAAATTCAAATCATAGTTATACCACATTGTACATGTACTATAAATGAAACAATGGTTCTTCTTGCTGTAAATCTTAAAAAAGGAAAACAAATTGAATATCCAATTAAAATAAAATTTTCAACAGTATTATCAACTCATTTAGATCCAGATGAATTAATAATAGAAAATAAATTGGGAGAAGGGTCATTTGGAATAGTTTATCTTGGAATGTTTAGAGGAAATCAAGTAGCAATTAAAAAAATGAAACAAATAACATGTGAAGATTGTTTAAAACAACTAGAAGAATTTTATGAAGAAGTAGCTATGTTAGATAAATTCAGAAATGAATATATCATTCATTTTTATGGAGCAGTATTTATTCCTAATAAAATATGTATAGTAACAGAATATGCAAAATATGGTTCATTAAATTATTTAATAAAACATAAAGAAAGATTTGAAACTTATAAATTAAATAAATTTCTTTTAGACGCAGCAAAAGGAATTTCATATCTTCATCAAAATAACATTCTTCATCGAGATATTAAACCAGATAATTTCCTTGTTATATCACTTGATGATAACATTGAAGTTAATTGTAAATTAACTGACTTTGGAAGTGCAAGAAACATTAATATGATGATAACAAATATGACATTTACTAAAGGAATAGGAACTCCTGCATATATGGCACCAGAAATACTTAATAAAAGTTATTATAAAATGCCAGCAGATATTTATTCATTTGCAGTTACAATGTATGAAGTATGGAGTTGGAAGATTGTTTATCAAGATAAATCAAGATTTCGTTACCCATGGGATATAGCAACATTTGTCACAAAAGGATTAAGATTAGAACAAACAGAATTAATTACAGATGAACAATATGATATTATTACTCACAGTTGGAATTTAGAACCAAAAGAACGAATGAAAATAGATGAAATTATAAATAGAATGGAACAATTAA